AGACTATATCATATCAATGCGCTGAATATATGTACTTATTTCAAAAACACCTCGTATACAAGAAAAACTTCACGAACGATAAGATTTCCAGAAAGTTCTCAATCAGTAGCTTCATCAGGTGGAATACTGGTACAATGAACTAAACTAACCTCGGCTAACTTTTAAATATGTGGAAATGGAAATGTGGAAATGTTCTATAAACCTTCATTTTCGGAAAACAAATACTACCTACTGAGAAAACAAATTCAACAGTGGTGAACTATCGAGGTCTAATTAATCGTTAAGTAACATGTTAGAATTTTTGAGTTTGTTGATATCTATCATACAGGGTGTTTCAGACTTGAATGTACATACGATAACTGTAGATAGAGGACACTTCGGTTACCGTCTTTGATAACTGAGATACAGGACGCTTTCTTGATATTGGCAAAATCTTCATCTGGTTATAACTTCTGACCCACTTTGTATAATCTATCCATACTTGGTAGAAATATTTCACTTATATAACACATCGAAACCAAATGAAAATCCGGATCAGAATCCAGGTCCGTCTTGAGGAAAAACAGAAATCTTCTTTTATCTCAAAAACAACACTCTGTATGGCAAAATTTTATTGATCGGTTTTGATATTTGGAATGAGCGGAAAAAAATGAATGAAGTGACCTACTTTTTACGAGTGCGCATCCAATTTTAAAGATGGTTTATTATCATGTTTTGAAATATTCAGCTCCATTTCGAAGCATTTTTATTGAACTCATAATTCAAAACCCAATTGTTATGCAGAAAAATAACAGTCTCCAAAGTTCAACATCATTAGAGTCAAATTAGGTGAACTATCGATAAATTTGTTTGTTTGACAGAATAATTTGTCGATGATTTTAAAAATTTTCGAGGAATCATTTTAAACTTTACTATTCATTCAGGCTGTGAAGAAAAAATGAAAATTTTGACAGTTCATAATCACTATAGTTGCGATATTATTGGTAAAGTTATTGTAGGCACAATTATTATGAACACTTTGAGATGTAACAACCCAATACAAGCACCAGAAATAATTATCTCACTAGTGATTATGACCTGTCAGAATATCAGATTTTTTTTGCTCAGCCTACTTAACCGCAGCTCGTGAATTAATAGTGGAGAATAAAATGAGCCCTCAAAAATGTATGATACCATAGACAAGTGATTTTGTCACAACAAATCTATCGTTAGTTCACCTAATTTGACTCTAATGATGTTAAACTTTGAAGACTATTATTTTTTGTATTAAAATTGAATTTTCAAGTATGAGTTCAATAAAAATGCCTGGAAATGGAGCTGAATATTTCAAAACATGATAATAAACCATCTGTCAAATTAGATGCGCACTCGTAAAAAGTAGGTCACTTACTTCATTTTTTTCCGCTCTTTCCTAATATCGAAACAGACTTACAAAATGTTGCCATACAGGGCGTTGTTTTTGAGATGAAAAGAGTTTCTGGTTTTCCCCAAGACGGATCTGGATTCTGATCCGGATTTTCATTTAGTTTCGATGGGTAATATAAGTGGAATATTTCTACCAAGTATGGATAAATTATACAAAGTGGTTCAAAAGCTATAACCAGATGAGGATTTTGCCAAAATCAAGATAACGTCCTGTATCTTAGTTATAAAAGACGGTAGACATATTGATGAGTGGTGAATTGGAACCACCGAAGTGTCCCCTATCTACAGGTATCGTTTGTACATTTAAATCTGAAACACCCTGTATATCTAGAAATCAACAAACTCAAAATTTCCAACATTTTACTTAACGATCAACTAGACCACTGTTGAATTTGTTTATAAACCTGTCCACAGGTAATTCTAATCCTTCAGGTTGGGAAAGTAGGATAAATAAAATGTAAGCAAGCCAAGGTTCGTTTAGTTCATTGAACCAGTATTTCCCTGATAAAGCAACTGTGTTAGCGAAACATGTCCTGTGATTAAGAATTTTGTGAAAATCTTATCGTTTGTGAAGTTTTTACCTTCGCCATCGATTTCCATCAAGTAACGGCCGAGTCAATTTAAAACTTATATAAAGGGGCAAAGAGCCCCACTATTTATGAATAATTCAATAAAACCAAACCTGCACATACGATCTTCACCAAACTCTGCTGGGGAAATATTGAACATTAAAGAGAAACAAAAAAACAGAACAGCTGACACCCTTCTGAAATGGGGTGAACAACCCTACAATTTAATTTGCTATTTATGAAACAATGTTCGAGAGAGATGGGTTGTTTCAATGATTATTATGTTATTTTTCTTAGGTGACAAAGAAAAATGGATTTGACGGCCCAAGACCGAAAGTCAAAACGGTGCTGATACGGGCAAAGATGATATTATCCAAAATATCTTTTTAATGAGCAAAATAATTACACATTCATTTAGATGCGTATGGCATATCCAAAATATCTTTTCAATGAGCAAAATAATTACACATTCATGTAGATGCGTATGGCACAGGGTCGGCCCAAATTAATTATACGATTTATAGCCCTCTCAGGATCCATATATTGACCTATTCTTCCAATCATGAAACATCTCGTGATCGTGTATTATCGAATTTGTGAACTCTTCTCTCAGAGAGATCCGGACAGATCAGTTCAATGGAGCTTAATCAATAGAATATACTGCTAGACCTGGTGTTCCCCAAGGGTCAATTCTGAGGCCCTTGCTCCTCATTATATTTGTGTTCTTATTGAACGTCTGGCATACGCACAGAATTAGGTTCATGGTAACATCACTCCTTATTTGTATATAGTGGTATATAGGGTGTTTCAGATAGTAATCTAGATAATTTAATAGATGATAAAACTCATAAAAATTATAAAAAAGTTTCAAAGCTTCGTTTCTTGATTACAAGGTGTTGGAAGTTTTTTGGAAACATATATTTTTATCCACAAATGAAAATCTCTTAAGCTGGTTATAAACATAGCAGATTTGTTTATTATATGAAAGTTTATCTTTTGGTGTAACTGGATTCATCTTAATCATTCAAGAGGCATCCCCAATTAGGTAACCAATTGATATGATAAAAATCATTATGGCCAATTGTGTTTTTTTCATAAATTTCATATTTTAATTCGTTTCAACAATAGAGGATACACATATCCTGCTTAGTTTAAAAAAAAATGAAGACCTGATATGAATCCAAATTCTAATGTAGGATCATTAAGATTAAGACATCCATTGAGATCACTTGATAGACATAATAAGTAAGGATTTGAGATTTTGAGACAATATATTTTGGAGGATATTTCATGAGAAAAAATAAAAATCAACTTTGTTGATATCTGTTAGCACCTAGCATTCAGAATTTGCAGACTGATAAGCAATCAGTTTGGGAAAACCAAGGGGAAAACCAGAATTTCTTATTCAGAACAAATATGCTCAGAAGTACAATCAAAGTAGATATAACTCAATTTGATAGATATACAGGTTGTTCAAAAATTCACTACAATGATTGCTTGGCTTGCCTACCAAATTAATAAATATATTAAAGATTGAATCATTTTTAGAAAAAAAAACCTTTGTGAAACCCATCCATCAATGTCCCAAGTCTGCAAAGAGAGTCATGGATAACAATAGGTAATATCTATACCTATCGGCAATTGACTACTATTCTGCACCCACATTTCAATCACCCATATAGGTACTCTATTTGGTATTTTCTGGACTATCTGACATGCTGGTTAATGTATCTTTATTGTTTATATCAAAGATTTGCTAGCTATATTCTATACCTGAGCTGAACTTTGTACATGTTGAAGGGAAGAAATACATATTCAACAATCTGTCAATTCAAATCTGCACAATCACACAATCTAGCTATATCCACTCCACAAAAATAAATATTTGCCAATGCTGAAATAGAGCCAATGATAAACCTAATTTGATACCATCTTGAAATTTTACAACTAAACCAACTATGAAATTGGAAGTAAAGGGACTTATTTATTCAATTGCAGTGTTTTTGATTAAAATATTTCTGGGTATATTATTTTCAAACCTTCTCTTGGAACAATCTCCCCTGACCATGTTATTATTCCTTCAGTCTTCAATTTACCTAGGTAGGTATCAGTCAAAACAAAAACACCAACTTGATTAGGATCTTGTACATGAATAGGGATTCAGAAATTATCATCTATTAGGATCTCAAATATAATAAATGTGCCTAGATGCCTAGGAAGGCACCTATTTATGTATTGTGTGATTTGTGATTATCTCTTCATCTAACCAAAAATATATAGCTTTCAACCTTCAATAGTTACTGAATTGTTATGAAGGTAAAATCAATTTCAGCTATGTACTTATGTACCTACCTATGTAGCATGATGTAGGCTATGTAGGTATCCTACCAGGTGACTACCAAGCAATTTAGCCAGTAAGTGACTGTGTAGGTATGTCTAAAACTGAATTTTACAATGTTGAGAATAATTTGATATGAGTAGGTACCTAATTATAAAGAAGAGACTGTCTTTAGGTGCTCAGATTAAAATTTGATGATGAATTTGTAAAAGAAAAATGTAGGTATTGAGTTTATAGCTAGGAACCTACCTACCTACCAGCAACCTATTTTAAATCTGTATCTCATCATCATCACACAAATGAATATCATCTGAAGATTCTGGATAGTTCTATTTCATTTCTGTTTCTAGTGAGTCATGAACAAATAATTGGTATCATATAATGAAAACCTATGAAAACAATAGTTCTTATTTTATAGGTAATCAATGAAATGAAAATCATGATTTATAATTAGTTGTAGTTATAGGATCAATCAATAGACTGATAGTCTAAAACCTCTCATACCTCTATTTCACAGTGAAAAGTACTCTATGCACACAAAGGACAAGTATCCATTTTATGAAGATAAATACGACATCGCTATCAAAACGAAATAAAACTATCAAGGACCAGCCAACTACTGACGGTTTTATGAAAAAATCTGCACCCAAATGCTTCAAACAACCTACCAAAAATACACTTCATTTCAGTAGTTTGCACTCTCAACAGATTTATGCTTCGAAAATTCTAGCGCAGTTTTGTTTCTTCGATTTTTATTCCACAATATTATCAACTGGCAACACGAACTGCTGCCTTTCGTTCAACACCATGACAGACTGAAAAGTCCCTATCAAACCACACAAATTCTGATAAACCAGTTTTTATACGCCTTTTCGTCATTCCAGTATAATTTCATCCCGAAAATAAGTTGCTGATGTTACTTTATTTTATTTAAAACTTGCCTTACCATGGAAAACATCACAAATTTTCACAAAAACATATGATTGAAATATTACACCATAATTTATTATAAAACTTCCAGTGTGACAAGCAAGTTTTACAATGCTAAAATAAAGGTCATCGTTCGTGAGATCTTGCTGATAAAGAAGGAATCTGCGATCAGCGATGGCATGTTGACAGGGATAAAGTTGGCTGCCGTCAGAGAGGCTGCCGACTCTAGTATTTTCCGTAAGATGGAGCGATGAATGTAGTAACCGTGGTGAAATTGAGAGTTGTTAATCTTTGAAGTGGTAACTGCAGTGACTATACAGTGAATCTATACAAGTATAATAGTAGTGAAGTAGTGGTGAATACAGTGATATCTATCATTACAGTTGAAAATATTAAGTCGCCCCATCTGACGGCATTGCATGAACACTTTGACAGTTTTCAAAATTCTCACCAGGTGGCGAACGTTTATTTTCTTTATCCCGTATGGCCGTGCTTCGTGCTTGTGGCACAAATTCAATCTGACCTGAAAGGAACCAGCGTGCAATCAAAGTGGTTAATCGAAGAAATAAATATTGTGAGGGCATTTGCTGTTGGAAAAGATAATGATTTGCTATTTCAATTATGTTTTTTTTTAGTAAATCTTCAGTAAACGTTTCCGCACCGATTATTTGATGCGCTTGCGTCCTGTCTCTAGATACCTACATCATTTCAGGTCAGATTGAATTCGTGCATATTTCACGGCAAGTAATCGTTTTAAAACATCCATTCACGACCAATCAGAACGAATCTAGCTATAGCTAACAAGGTTCTAAATTTGAATTTGGATAGTTATTTATGTAAGTATCAAAAATCAAAATGCCGTAACTTATTGGCGCTTATCTTGTGTACGAAACGGCTATTCAAGTCAGGCGCGTATATAATAAGGAGGGTTATTGAAGGGGAATTACCCCCCCCCCCCTCTCCTAGCAGCTTCAATCAAAATTAACATTGATATCCAATTTCTATTTCTTCCTTAAAACTGAAAAATGCTAAATTAAGCTGCAACGTGCGAGCTCGTTTTTCATTTTGACAATTTAATATAATATATAAAATCTCGTAAGCCGCTTCGAACTTGTCATTATGACAGCGAAGCAGCGAAGAAAGTTTGCCCTAACTTTCATCATGGCCCTAAATTTTACAGCGACAAAACAGAAACATTTGAAAGCATGACAGCTGAGATTGAGATGTTTATAGAGATAAACATCTCAATGACAACCATCTTAATTATATACAAATATTCGATAGTGTTTTTTCCTCAAACTTTGCTTTATCAGAAGAAAAATTCGTCCTTTTTCCTATCACAGAAAATATAATGTATTATACATGGAAAAAATATAAGATAGCTCACGGTTTTTTGTCTCTTCGAGCTAAAATCTACTACAATTTTCTTCCTTGTATAATGATAAATACCTATGGTAATGTTGCGATTTAGAGTCTTCGAGTGGAGAAATTGATAAAACCATGCAAAACAAATAATGTGATTTACGAATTCATTAAATCGTCTCACCGAATTACACTCAAGCATTTTTCTTGAGTGGAAGAGTAGGAAGAAAGAAACAAATTTTTCCCTAGCCCCTCTGTGAAGCACTTTACAAGTGTGTTTTTTCAAAAATTGATTCATATTATGACAATACACGATGAAAAGTTCTTGAAATTTTTTACTAGCTCTCCTGGGGACCAGTTTACTCGTGTGTTCATGGAATCTTGCGGACTGGGTGTTTTCGCGAGTCAAATCATCTAAATTTTCTCAAAAATCGATTAACCGCATGAAAATACACATTAAATTTTTTTATTTGTTCCTATCCCCTCTGGGGAGCACATTACTCGTGTGTTTTTTCATAAAATCTTGCGACCTGGATATTTTTACATATCAAATCATCTCAATTCCCACAAAAATCGAGTTATCTCATATAAATGGAAAGTTCTTAAAATTTTTTCCTTGCCCCCCTGGGAAGCATTTAACTCGTTTGTTTTTTCATAAAATCTTGCGGACTGAGTATTTTTGCGAAACAAATCATCTCAATTTTCGCAAAAATCGATTAATCTCATAAAAATACGCGATGGAAAGTTTTCAAAATTTTTTGCTAGCCCCTTGGGGAGTACTTTACTCGTGTGTTTGTTCATAATATCTTGCGGCCTGGGTAATTTTGCGAGTCGAATCATCTCAATTGTCTCAAAATCGATTCATCTAATAAAAATACATAATGAGCAGTTTTTGAAATTTTCCATAGCCTCCCTGGGGAGCACTTCACTTCGTGTGTTTATCAATGAAATCTTGCGAAAGTAAAAATAAAGGTGCTCCTATTGTTCCATATCAGATGTATCATTTATGAGTGAAATCTATCACATTTTATGCATATATAACGTTGCCAATTTTCAAATAATAGTGGCTATAAAAAAATAACTATTTTCTTTCCACGAAACAATGTCATAGAGGCACGTAAAATTGAAAAATATTGATAAAAAGTAACTTTTAATTTTTTATCAATATCCACTACGATTTATTGCAGTGTTCTGCATAATATGTGAGATGTAACCGAGGATGTAACAATATTTTTGAATCGTTTTTCCTCTAAAATGATACATCCGATCGATACGAAACATGAGCACTTTTTTTGGAAAGAGGTGTGGATTTTTATATTCTGAGATTGAATTTTCGAGAAATATGCATACAAAGAAGTTTGAGCAATATCTAATGTAGTTTCACACCTTGTGTATTAGAATTACATTTGAAATGATTTTATTCTCACTATTTACATTGGGCATGGAAAGTTTGGTTAATGTACAGAATCGCATAATTTTATCACATGGCGTTTCGGAAATGTTCAACAAATAACATCTTCAGGAGCACCCTTCCAGGAGGCCGTAGCTTCCAGGAGACATCTATATCGAATAGAATAGAATAGAATAGAATAGAAATTGATTCATCATAGAAAATCCTACAACTGTATTACAAACCATCAAAAATGAATAGGTCGGGTGTTTCCGTACAAAAGAGGGAGCTGTTTACACTATAGCTGCAAGATTGAAATGTTTTCGCGTTCCAGTCGTCTCGCCAATACGTCTAAGTAAGTGAAGGAGGGTGTTTCGTCGCTCTTGAAGAGAGAAGTGCTTCAGGCTCTAACAGATTTTGCTATTTTTACGAAATTGTTTGAACGATTGATTATGGAGACATTAACTTCATAATAAATTTACTTACATGCTCTAAAAGTGTTTAATAGTTATTTCTGAAGTCTGAACATACATTCAATAAAATTTTCGTGTAGATGTTATTAGTTGAATTTCAGCATTTTTTTTCCTTGAATTGGTCACTTTAATGGGTAAAATAAATCATTCTAATTTCCATGTAACTGATGGAGTTTATATTTTGTGATTGAATCATTTTTATGTTATATCTTGCTATACGATTTATTCTTCGCATGCCGAGAATGTATGAAATAAAGTTGAGGCCACCCATTAATATTATTGAATAGTCATTTTGATTGTACACATTCCTCAACAGAGTATTAGAGCTGATTTGGTGACTCATGTTCATTGAAACGTCTTCCTATTTTTGATCGTGGAAGCCGCTGGTGAAGTTTTACAGGTTGATTTCGGGACACCCTGTATACGTGTGACCTGTGAATAGGCGGCAAATTCAAAGCGCGAAACTGTTCATTCACCTTCATCTCACCAGGGGATTTGGATCGATGTCGGCGGTCCAGGCGTCTCTGGCGGCGCGCCGTTGTCACAAACATATATACAGGGTGGTCCTTAAGTAATAGAGCAGCTCAACTAGCAATGAGAGAGAAAAAATGTCTTTCCTACGTCCTCCCCATATTCCCTTGTCTTCAGTGTTCCAACGTGAAATAATGAAAATTTTATGTTGGTAACATTGGAAATGGGAAAAATGGAGATCATATTGACCTCTTCGTCTTCTTCTCCTTTCGATTTAGATGGCCTCAGCTACCTGGGCTATCTGGCCAAGTACACGCATCTATTTGAATCTTCCCTACTGATGTCCACCGTATGTGTGGCAGGTCTGGGAGAATTTCATGCCCCGTAGAGGTTCCTATAGGAATTAGATAGTTCTAGCAATTTTTCGCACTTCTTCTATTGACCTCAATTCAAAAGAGGTTACGATGATCTTCTTCTCTATTTCTTCCCATTTTCAGTAGTGCCAACATGCCATTTTCATTATTTTATGTTGATGGAACACTGAAGACAAGGACAGATGGAAAAGACATTTTTTCTCTCTCAACGCTAGCTGAACTCTGCTTTATTGTAATTTGAAAAGAAGTGAATTCGTGGCCAAAACTATCAAGATATGCCTGAGTCAGATCGCGTTGATATAGGATATATTGCTAATGAGAGATATGAAATTTGAATATTTAGGAGCATATATGTATATTCATGGGACGTCCACTCAAACAAAACTATTTCGTACATGATGCATGTCTGGACAACTATGGGATTTTGTTTTATCCCTTGGAGCGCACGAACGGAAATTCCTATAACGTCGTTCTAAGAACATAGGGAAGATAGGGAGAGGAGGTAGGTGTTGGCATTTTTTTACCTTCTGGTTTTAAGTTCTTGGGAATACTTCCATTATTGTTAAAGAGTTCCAAAGCTTTGCCTTATTTCTATAGACGAACGAGTTCTGGTGAAGTGTTGACAACGAAAGAATGTGCTGACTGGGTCTGTCGAGTTCGTCTGACTGATGTTATTAATTGCTACTGATGGAATGATAGCAGAAACTTCTGAGGAACATTTGCCGTGTTAGTATTTATACGAAAGTGTTATGTCGCGCCGACTTTCCTACGGTGTTTCAATAAGGAATTTGAACAGCATTTTAAAACTGGTTGTATATCTGTGCT